ACACCATGAAGGAACCCAAACTGGGCTACCCAAGTAACTGGGAAGAACTCTCCCCTCCACTTAGTGAACAGGAGGTATGAATATAATGAATTCTCTTAGGTGGATACTATTGGTCTTATAGTGCAAGCCTCTGTCAAACTCAATTTAGAAGGTTTTTTTTCTTGATATACCTTAGAATCACAGAATCATCAAGGTTGGAAGAGACCTCTAAGATCACCGAGTCCCACCCTTAACCTGCCACTCTGCTGGAACCCCTAACCCTAACCCAGATCCTCCAGTGCCACATCAGACACCTCTGAAACACCTCCAGGGATGGTGACTGCACCACCTCCCTGGGCAACATCCCAGGGCCTGAACACCCTAACAGGAAATAGAATTTTCTAACATCTAATCTGACTCTCCCCTGTCTCAGATTATGACCATTCCCTCAGCCCTTCATTTCTTCCAACCTTTTCTCATACTCTCAATGAAGAACCTAACAAAAACAAGTATCCTGCCCAATGGGATGTTCTACACTGTGTATGAACTTCGCAATACTTGGGATCCAGCTGGAAAGTGGAAGAAATTCCAAGACCAGATGCACTTTAAGAAGTCCCACTGATTACTGAGGGAAAAAAATAGAAAACCCCAGTATCAGACCTCAAAAGGAAGAGTTTACAAGGCAACTTAAATTTCAATTACGTAAGAAAAAGCTGCAAGAGACCATTAGGTATGTAAATTTTAGGGTTGGGGAGAGCAGTTTGATAAATGACTATGCAGTCAAGGTTTCATAACAATTTATCATTGACTTGGTGCCTGCTTAGGCAGAGGGTTGAACTTGAGAAGAGGACACGAATGCACTGAATATTTACCTAGGATACAGTGAAAACAGAAGAGCAGATCCTCCACTACAGCAGCTCAGCCTCTTGGACAGCATAGGAAAGGAGCAACAGGCAATGACAGATCCGACACAAACTGGGCTTGACCATATGTGAAAGCTCAGTATGTCTTTCTAATCTGGAAAAAGTATTTTCCTCATAGTAAAAAAACCCACCATGTATAACCAACAGAATGCAGCCTGTGGTGGATTCCACTCACATATCCTTTTCTTCCTTTTAGGTTTTTGCTGAACTTCTTCTTTAAAGTCTTAGAATGCATCAGAATGATTTGAACACTATGTAGTTTCCTTCAACACTGTGTGCTAGAACTGAGTAACTTAATAGCACAGGAGGGAGGCACTGCCTGAACTTTAGTTTGTTCATACTCATTCCTTCTTGTCCCCTGCTGTTGGTGCCACACCATATGTTTGGGCAGCAGTGCATGTTCAGAATTATATGAAGCACAGTGAATGGAATTATTGACACCACAAATCAATAAAGAGCAGTTGATCTGTAGCTCTGTGTAGGTTTGGAAAATGATCTAAAAATAAATGCATTATTTTGGTAAAAGATTTGGCCTCTCTAAATATCTTCTAGGAGAAAAAAATTAAAAGGCAAATATAGGGCAGATGACACGTTTAGAAATAGAACAAGAGTGCTTCTACTTTTCCCACAGGAGAGAATTGACTCAGTTGGTCCATGACAGAAACACTTGACAGAAATGCTTGAAGAGCTTTAAAGATTGTAAAATATATATATTTTTTCCCCTTATAAAATTCATGCTGGTACAAAGCTGTTTTACTGTGTGACAAAGTGAGATGGCAAAGGAAGGTGCCACTTGCATGTTTTCCAGATAATGTATTTAGAGTCTTATTTAAAGAATATGAACCATACAAGAGCCCTGGAACAAGCATTGCCTCTGTCTCTGTGTACAAATAGTATCAAATGCTGTACATAAACAAAGACACATGATACTGACTTGTAAGTATGTAGACTATACTGACTGGTGAGTTATGTAGACTAGAAATCATGCAGGAAATAGAGACTGCAGATATGTTAAGACCTTAAGGATGTATTTTGTCCTAAGGGATGTGACCAATAATTTCCCCTCCCCCAGTAAAACAAGAAAAATGCATCTCTGTTTATTCAGATGCACCATAATCCCCTATCAAATGTCAAAACTTGGGAAGAATTAATTTCAACTTTGCATTTACTGCAGAGGTTTTCTCTTCACTTCAAAACATAAAGATGCAAAGTTTTTGTCTCTATCCATGAAGTTTTCACGTAAGGTAGCTCTGCACGGTGGATACCTAGTGTTTTTCTTTCTAAAAAAAAACTTGCTGGATATATAAGACAGTGATAAAATATAATAGCTCCCTGGTTAGAAGATTCTTCGGAGGATCAACTTCATAATTTGCTGTATCTACTGCATAACATGTTTGTTTACAATTCTGGGAAGCAAGACAAGCAGCTACAAGAACCCAATAGCACAAACCCAACAAAACCTGTGACTCCAAACACAGCAGCCTCTAAATTACCTTTCACATCAATGTTGTTTAGCTTACTGGTATATCTGCAAATGGAAGGTTTATGCAAACTGAACTTTTGGATTTCTCAAGCTTCTGACACTGTGCAAGACAGAGCAGGAAAA